TAAAAAAATAAAAATCCGAGATCCTTTCTTAAGCAATTAGAATCTGCTTGTCTTATGCATCTCCAAAGAACTAGAGAATTCTCATCCCCTCTCCCCCAAAGTTATGCTTTTCACGCTTTGGTTACCTGTGGTCAACTACAATGATCCAAAATCATTAAATGGAAAAACTAAAGGAATTCATAAGTTCGAAGTTGCACACCGTTCTGGAGAGCATGGTGGAATCTTGCATTGTTCCTTCTTTGTTCTACCAGACACATGAATGCCCCTCTGTCCATAACCATGCTCTACACACTGCCCATCCTTCAGCCATTTAGTAACTGTCTCGATTATCAGACCAATTAGGATGATAGTACAATGCTAATTGTCAAGTCACCCTCATTTACTTAGTAATGTCCTATAAAGAGCAACAGCAGTGATGCTGGAAAACCAGATAAACCATCAAGAAGCTGTAGAGCACTTCCTCTAGTGAAAAGTTGAAATTCTAAAAACTTGAGGAAAGAAAATTCTATGTCCAGATTGCTAAAACCTATGGGAAAAAATGTATCTTTTGTGAAATAGTGAAAAGGGTATTTGTGCTAGTTTTGCTATTGTATCTCAAACATCGAAAGGCTACAGCCAAAGTACGTGACAAGAGCTCAATTAAGATGGAAAAGGCATTCAATTCATGGATGTGTAAGTCTATGTATATATGCAGGGCTTGGTAGTTAGTTGTTTCATGGGGGTATCCATGGGGGTTCTGGAGCATAACCCTCAGGACAAGAAGGAACTACTACAACAATACTTGAAAGCAAGAGCTGAGGTAAAGGTATTTTTAAAATTACATTTGAAGAAGGCTGGTGATTTAGCACAGTGGTGCCACGGCCTGCCTCGAAGGTGCAAGGCCCAAGTTTGATCCCAGGTAGCTGGCCCCCAAAAATTTAAATTTGAAGAATGCAGAGTATAAATGGAATTAGAAGATCTTCCCACATCAACTGGGCACCTACCATGAACCAAGCACTAAGTATTATAAACAAAAAGATAAGCTCCCAAACCTGCTTATGTTCAGTCCAGCCACGTTGGATGTTTTCAAAATTCTTCTTCCCTGCTCCAGTCACTAAGCAGTACCATCATCCACCGAAACCCCACTGTCTGGGAGCTGCCAGCAGGTGCACAAACACAGCACACTCTTGCCTATACCTGTTGTTCACCTGGGCTAAAATACTCTCCTTTTCTTCAAAACATTTTTGCTCGACATATACAAACATGATATTAAAAAGTCAAAATATCAGATTTGGGTTATCATTTCACTGTCTTTAGTTTTTTACGACTATTTAAAACATGTATTAATATATCATATTAAGACATACAAGGGCTGGGGATTTAGCTCAGTGGCACCATGCCTGCCTTGCAAGTGGAAGATCCTGAGTTAACATTCCCCAGCACCCCCCACCAAAAAAAAGACACAAAACTGTTATAAAGCAAAATACAATGTATATTAAACACCCATAGCCCTCCCACCCAAGAACTAGAATGTTCCTCCTAACTCATATACCACTGAATTTCCACCTTCTATTCTCCCTCCACAGGCAATCACTAAGCTAGGTTTTGGTTTACTGTCCTATTTTTTTTCCAAACCCTTTAAAACATAGTTTTATCACATATTCATGTTTAGACGATATATCCTTTGGTTCTGTTTATAAGCAAAATAAAAATAGTACCGTACCACATGTGGTCTCATACTACTCATTTTTTCCATTAATATTTTCTGAGATTCACTTGTATCGTGAAGTACAGGAGTAGCTCATTCACTACAAAATATTACTCCTTCAGGGTCGATGTATCTAATTTATGAATCCGTTCTTCTGTAGACACACATTCCATTTTTTCCAGTTAACAATTACAAATGTAACTACGAACACCTTTACACATTCCTGAGCACATCAAAGCCTAGGGCTTTGTTGTATATGTGACTGGGAGTGGGGAGCCAGGACAAAACTTATTTCTCAAGCAATGGCACCATGCAACACGCACCTAGTATGTGAGTTTCCACATATCTTCTTTAACAATTGTTCTGTCAGGTCCAATTTGTATAAATCTTACTAACGTAACATGAACTCTCACTGTGGTTTTAATTCGTGCTTCTCTGATCACTGATGCTATTTGTCTATCTGTACGTCCAAAGTGAAAGGACCTGAGTCTTTTTTTTTTTAAATCCTCTATGTATTTGGATTACTGATCTTTTGTCAGTTATTATTTGTATTATAAAGATGCCTTCTTAAGTTGTGGCTTGTCTTTTCACTTCAGCTGTCTAACGTAAGTCCTTATTTGGTAGGCCTGATGTAGTCGTATTTTATTATCTTTTATAATTAGTGCTTTCTCTCTCAAGAGAGTCTGAGTGTTTATTCTCATGTAAACATTCACTATTTTTCCTTTTCTATTAAAGCTCTTTATGTATTTGGAGTGAGTGCTGGATAAGGTATAAGGCAGTGATCAGCTTCCCTTGCTCCTAAACGAATAAACACTGTTCTTGCATGGTATCTGTAGTTCTTTGTGTTCCACAAGACCTCCCGTACCACCTCTATCTGGATTCAAAAGTCAACATGTTTGGGCTGGTTTCTGGGCTCTCTGTTTCCTTCCATTGTTCAAAAAGCCACCTCTGTATGACACAGGATGCTATCTCTACAACAAAATGTTATGTGCTATAAGCCAATTCCCCTAAACTCCTTCATTTTTACAAGCATCTGACTGCTCAGTCCTTTGCTATTTAAGATACAGCAAGTATCAGCTTATGTTTAACAGAAGCTGCTTAAGTATCTGTTTATGTTTAACATAACCTCTGTTGGAAAATGGCAGTGAAACTGTAGCTCAGTTTGGAAAACTTGGGTGTCCTGAGAGCCTTCGACACTCCTATTTGTAAACAAAGGCCCCTGCCTTGCTGCTCCATCTTTATCTTTCAGGTTCTAATTCACGACTCAGTCATTGCCTTCCCTGAATGTGTCCACCACCGTCCCACCTAACGTGGGTTAAGTGTAGCTTTTATGCACCAAGTTTTGAAAAAACTGCAACAGTCAAAGGAAAAAGATAAGTGAGTTTGAGGACTGCTGCTCAGGTAGCAGCACCGCTCATTATTGACTATACAGGGATTAAAAAGAAAAGCCATCTATAGCCTGGGTCTGGGACACACTGGGAACAGAACATACAGCTATGTTCTTCAGGACAGAGGACAAATGACCTTGAGGTACTGACTGAATGAGCCTACCACTGAAACTGGACAGACTAAGAAATCAACTAAAGACAAACCCTCAGGAACACGAAGGTTTAAGTAGGCAGTGGAGGAGAAAATTATGAAAATGATTAAGAAATGATCATAACTGGAGAAGGCTAACCAGAGAGTGATGTTAATGGAGAATGAGGGTAAGAAGAGTTTGGAAAAAGCTAATACTATCCAAAGAGAAGAAAACACACTGGATGGAAAGGTCACTGAGTCTGACAATTAAAGAGGTCATTACTGGCAGAAAAGATGGAAACCCACGCACACGCGCGCGCACGCACACACACACACACACACACACACACACACACGCCTAACTTCATAGAATTAAGGAGAGGATGGCAGGGGGAAATGGCCGGCACATGGCAAGCACCCAAGTATTTGTTGGGAGCAAACCTGAGAGAAAAGGAAAAAGGCAGGCTCTTCTTTATGAATTCAGCATGAGCACAAGGCAGCAGACTGCAGAGGAGTTCAAAGGAGAAACAGTGTACTGTGAGACTTGATCTCAACCACCACTGCACAAACCAGCCTCCTTCTTATAAAGCACAGCAAGCAGTAAAATGGGGAAAATTCTTTATGTCACATAGCAATTACGCAGCAAAGCTGAAGTTTGAGTCCATGTATGTTTGACTTCAAGTGCAAGGCTATTCACTATATACCCCCATATAATCAAGAAACAGTCAACTGTGCTACTTCTGATTCAAATTTTGATTTGGATCTTGGAGTTGGGGCAATACAGAAAGCAAAGACTTGAGTAGCCTTATGCCCTCTACTGGCCCAACTCTGCACAGGTCATCACAGCCCAGCTGAGAACCTGCTCAACTCAAAAAAGACTAAACACCCTTAATAGCCACTCTCTCCTCACTTCCTTTTTCCCTCGTGGGGAAGGAGTTATGACAAATAAGCTCGGATAGTATGACTATATTGATCAGAGCAGGGCAAACAGCACGAGTGTTTCTGACAGGCAACCAGTGAGAGTATGCCTTTTGCCAAAAGGAATTCTACAACCATTTAATCGAGTTTTAGATAATGAGATCTTCCAGACAGAGCACAGAGATATACTTTCTTCCCTGTAAGAGTCTACTCTTAGAACCATTTAGACTAAAGTGCCCCATTTCTCACAGTGGCATTTTGCCACAGGATCACATTTCTCTGTAGAAGTTTCTCTATTTAACTGTGTTTTAGGCTTTTTTTCTAGAAGAAGGGGTAATGAAAAAAAAAAAAAAAAAAAAAAAGGTTATAAGCCCTCTTGGATCCAAAGTAAAAACGGAAAAAAGCAAGGTGACTTGCTTTGAAATGCAAAAGACCTGTGTTGCCATTTTGTCCCAGTTCCCGAGGGACCAGGGATGCCACTGGAATCTCACTGTTCCTCATTCAAGATCCCTGAAAAACAGCACTTGTAACCTACAATACAGTCTTCCAAAAATCTGAAGTAGGGCCATGTCAACCAGAATCACATGGGCCTTTTGTTGTTATTTTTAAGGCACTCTGGCTTCTGTCTCCTTGAGATCAGCAAGTTTTTTTAACTCACAGAGAAGTTAAAAAAAAAATTAGTTTGTATCATATCCCAAAATAGGTCCAAGCCACTTCTCCACCTCAGCCACAGACATGTTCTTCCTCAAAGCATAATCTTCAATCTGCAAGAGACAAAAGCACCTCATTAAACCACAGTGGTAAGACACAGGTTTTGCCAAGAAACACTGTGTACCTTCCATTTCTTATCTTAATAACACGGAGACAGATATTCATCTGCTTAGAAGCTGACGGCGCAGCATATCGGTGTTGGGAAGGGCTAACTCGGGGTGATGGGCCAAGATTAAATGAAGACATTATCGGCCACCTCTTCATTTTATTCTCATTCCCATTTAAAATAAAACAAGTTCTAGAGTTCTACACAAAACAACACAGGCATCTAGAGAAGCCACAAACTCACCTGATCCTTGGAAATTTTCCCCACAGCAAAATATTTGGAATTCAAGTTGGAGAAATAGAGTCCTGATACTGCTGAGGCAGGTGCCATGGCCAAGGACTCTGTTAACCTGATGCCTAGAGAGAGCAAGACAGATGCTCATTACTTGGCAACCCAGCATGGGGTGGGAGGTGGGGAGGAGGGGAGTAAGCATTGAAGGGCCAATGCTGGAGCCTGCGAGTGAAAGTGAACTAAATTCTTGCCATTGAGGCAAACACATAACAGCACAAAAGCTGGGACCAGATGAATCTAGCAAATTCCTGCCAGATGGAAAAACAAACTCTGGACATGTGGATCTCCTGTATTCCACTGAGAACAGGACTCTATACTACTCCTCAGTCTCCCAAGACTGGTTTCAGAGGCCTGGGCCTTCTCAGCCAGGACAGCTAAGCCTGGAGGTGAGGGAACCATCTGAAGGACCCTCTACAGGCTCTGCGGGCCAATAAAACGAGGGGGATAGGTAGGTGGTGCCAGTGAAAAAACCACCTCAGCACTGAGAAGAAAGTGATACTTTCTCCTGAGATCCTTAAGGCCATCCACTCTGAGCCACTCATATGGACCAGGAAACAGAGCCCACAAGATGAATGCTCTGCCAAAGGCCTTAAGCTATGGGAAAGGGGACCCACATCCAGATCTCCTGGGTTAACAGTTCTTCTGCTGACCCAGATCCAATACAGCCTGTAGTTCCTCACTTAAATCTAGATCCCTGACTTAACTCTGATGACAAGTTCATGGTTAATTCCACCGAAAAATGTGATCTGAGTGTGGACCATCTCAACCACGGTTTATGTAATAGTATCCGGAACCTGCATCAGGACTGGGCAACACAGCCACAAACCATGATCTCTGTGCTGGGCCAAGGGTGCAGAGGCCAGGTGCCTAGGCTTTCATTGCAAAAGAATATACATCAACTTTTCAACTATGAGAATCAGACCACAGATAAATCATGAGAATTAAGATTAAAAAAAAAAAGCGTAACTGTTAATCACAGTGTAGAAGAGAGAAGGGAGCTGAAGGAAAGGGTGGGAGCTCTGCAAGCCTGCTATGCAGACATCATCTAGGTGCAGGCTCAGCCTGAGGAAGGCAGTGTTACCAATGGAAGGGGGAGGGAGGGGTGAAAGACACCAGCAACAGAAAAAGTGGGGTGAGAGTCACGCAGAGTATAAGACAGCTTTCTACCTGTGATGGGTAATTTAAACTCCTAAATCTAAACTGGATATAAAAATACAATGTAGTAGTATAATGTAAAATATCAGAAAAATGTATCAGCAAGTGAGAAAGGATGGGATAGGGAATAATTCCACCATAAGCTCTTCTATTTAAAAAAATCTTTAACGATAGTGCCATTACACTGATACATGTCCAGTAAGGAAAAACAGGCACCCGCCACCATACACAAACCTGTGCACTGCTCGATGCTCGCCAGTCGCCACATGGTAAGCTTCTCAGTGTGATCAGGCTGGCTGGGGTACCCAGGAGCTGGCCGGATGCCCTCATACCGGAGCTTGCGCAGGTCTGCAACGCCCAGCTGCTCACTGTCACAGTAGGCCCAGAGTTCTCTGCGAACCCTCTCATGGAGCTCCTCTGCGAAGGCCTGGAACCCAGAGCAGGGGCAAGCTTGGCGGAAGTGGGAGCTCAGCATCCCAAGGCTTCCACTCTCATAGCAAATGCAGGTGGAGCAGCCTTGCTCACCAGACCTACCAGCGATAATCTGGCAGGAGGGGACAGGCTAGACTCTCGGGGGTTTGTACTTTCACTCTGTTACTGCTCAATGGATGCTGATATATTATATTTAATGATCTGAAGGTCAGCCCACAATTCCCCTACAGTAAGAGCAGCAGGGAGCAGGGCCCAGAGCGTCATTCCTCCAGCCTTGCTGCAGAGGGGACAGCCTACAGCCAAGGCTGGTCCATCCCATGCATGACAGAGATGAAGAATCTACAGAGATGCCCATGTTAGAATGAAAAGATCTGAAAAAGGAATCTGAAGTCATCTGGCGATACAAGATTTAAAAATACAAGTAACTAATGTTAAAACCAGCGGCACCTGACTCAGAAAGCGAAAACATGGACTGTAATGGCTGATCGGTTTTCTGACACCGTCATGGGATTCCCCACTGCCTAAACGTGGCTGCAGGGCCCTGGTGCACCACCACCACGTTACCTCTGCCAGTCGGTCCCCCAGAGCCTTGACCATGATGCTGCTGTAGTCATCACCGTCATCTTCATAGGCTTTGCTCAACTTTTCCACCCCAAAGCAGGCGACAGCAAATAGGCCCAGGTAGTCACGGACACCAGAATGCAGGGGAGCAACAAAATCTGAGAGGCAGTGGTAAGAGTCTGTGCTGGCAGAGTCCTTCTCGGCCTAAAAACCAAGCAACAGGCAGATGACATGGCAGCAGCACACAGTGGAAAGCAATCTGGTATCCTCAGTGAAAGTGAGCCTTGTGACACAGGAATGTATATTCTGTTCACCGTTATATCTCCAGCACTCAGAACAATGCCTAACACAGTAAGTACTCAATAAATACTTGCTGAACAAACAAATTGCTAGCATGATTTGAGCACAGCCCCTGACGCCCAGGTTCATGTGTTGGAAGCTCAATTCCTCAATGTGGCAATATTGGGAGGTAAAGCCTAGATGTTTAGGTCACAGGGGCGAGGCTCTCAGAAATATACATTCATGTTTTACAGGAACAGGTTAACTGTTACTGGAGTTGAACCCCCCGCTTCCTCTCCTGTCCTCCCCTTCTTTCCTCTCCATCTTGTTACATAGCAGCACATGACTGCCTCATCTTGAACATTCCAGAACCATGTTCTAAAATAAACTTTTCTTTACAAATTACCCAGTGTGTTACTAAGCTCTTCATTGCTGTGACAAAATACCTCATAATATCAACTTAAAAGAGAAAACATTTATTGTGGCCATGGTCAGGTGGCTCAGTTGCTTTTACGCCTGTTGCAAGGTAGAAACGCGGCAGAATGGAGTGGCAGAGGAAAGCTGCCTACCAGATGATTTCCAGGAAGCAGAGAGTGAAGGAACAAGCCAGACAGGAGGCAGGGAACCAGAGTCCCCAAGTTCATATCCCCACGGTCCATTCCTTCAATTACACCCCACCCTATTTCCATCATTCCAAATAAAGCCATCCAATTATGATTAATCCATTGGTGAAGTTAGAGCCTTCATTATCTAATCACTCCCCAAAAGCCCATCAGCAACTAAGCCTTCAACACCATGAGCCTTCCTGGGGTACCATTCTGAATCCAACCATAATCCCCAGTCTCAGGCGTTGTTATTAGCAAAAGAAAATGGACTGACACACAAACAATGAAATTTTACAAAATGTACATGACATAACATATATATCCAGGAAATCAGTTATTTCACTCATTCACAAACGGACCAAACACATCCTGAATGCCTACAGGTACTATGCTAGGAACTGAACCTTAAGCAATCCTGCATTTAAAAATTTTTTTTCCTCAAAACATTTCAATTCAGACCAACATTAAGTCTCGGTACTATGTTCACATGGGGTTCACTGAATGTATACTATGGTTTATATCTATATGTCCCCCCAAAACTCAGGAACTCATATGTGGGGCTTGTGGGAGGTGATAGGATCATGGGAGTATGATAACCAGTAGTGGATTAAGTCCACTGATGAGTTTACAGCTAAATATGATGTTAGGAGGTGGAGCCTGGTGTCAAAAGAGGCAAGTCACTGGGTGTAGCCTGGAAAGGCATGCCCTCTGCCTCACCTGCTCCTTCCTTCACTCACTCTGCTTCCTGCCTGCCATGCCTTGAGCGGCTCTTCCTCTGCTATGCCCCTCTGCCATCCCATCTTCCCTGGGAGCAGATCACAGACTGCAAGGGCAAATCAAAGTACACCTCTCTTCCTTTAAACTGCAGGTGTCAGGTACTGCGTGTCAGTAACAAGAAAGTGACTGAGACGGTATAAGCTCCCATCTGCATCAACACATACAGTTCAACAAACTGCTGAGGTCCACATCACATGGGCTGTGAGCTGCCCAACACAGGCACAGTGCAGGAAACAGTAGAGGACACTAAGACAACCTGAAGCCAAAGAATCATCAGGATGTGTTCTGAGTTCCCTCTATAGTCTATAAACCTCCACCTTCTGGGTGCCTCACTTACACAGCCAATAAATAACTACTGAGGAGGTAATAGGTTACAATTAATATTTACTGCTGCTTACTCTATGCCTATTCTTTGTACAAATCACTAATTTTAACTTTCTTAACCTTGTGAAATAAGTGATAACCACGTAACTCACCAACAAAGAAAAGCCCAAGTCCTGATGGCTTCACTGCTGAATTCTACAAGACATTTAGAGAAGAACTATTGCCACTACTCTTTAAATTTTTCATGAAATTGAAAGGGAAGCAATACCGCCAAATTCATTCCTAGAAGCAAGTGTTACTTTGATTTCAAAACCAGGGAGAGGCCCAACCAAAAAAAGAGAACTACAGGCCAGTCTCCCTAATGAACATAGATGCAAAAATTCTCAATAAGACACTGGCAAACAGAATACAGAGGGTCATCAAGAAGATCATACACCCTGACCAAGTCAGATTTATTCCAGGGATGTAAGGATGGTTCAACATACGTAAATCAATAAATGTAATGCAGTATATTAACAGAGCCAAGGACAAAACCATATGATCATCTCAAAAGATGCAGAAAAAGCATTCAACACCCATTTATGATATTAAAAAAACCTGCAGAAAACTGGAATAGATGGTCTTTATCACAACTTGATAAAGGCTATCTAAGAAAAATCAATAGCCAACATCATACTAAATAGTCAAAAACAGAAAACCTTCATGCTAAAATCTGGAACAAGACAAGGATGTCCACCATCACCACGTCTGTTCAATATAGTTTTGGAAACAGTAGCTACAGCAATTAGACAAGAGAAAGAAATAAAAGGAATAAAGATAGAAAAGGAGGAGTTAAACTGTCACTATTCGCTGATGATATGATACTCTACATAGCAGATCAAAAAAAACACTACCAAAAGATTTCTAAGACTTAATTGAAAGATTCAGTAGCACAGCTGGATAAAAGGTCAATACTCAAAAATCAAAAGCCTCCTTGTACACAAATAGCAGACTCACTAAGAGAGAAATTAGGGAAACAATCCTTTCCACAATAGCATCCCCCCAAAAATGAAACATCTAGAAATCGATTTAATGAAGGAAGCAAAAGAGCTCTACATTGAGAACTACAAACTCTGAAAAAAAGAGACTGAAGAGGATATAAGAAAATTCAAAGACATCCCCTGTTCCTAGGTAGGAAGAACCAATACAGTGAAAATTGCCACACTTCCAAAACTACTACACAGATTCAACGCAATCCTAATTGAAATCCCAACAGCATATTTCACAGAACTAGAGAAAATCCAAAAATTCATTTGGAACCATAAGAAACCTAGAATAGCAAAAGCAATTCTAGGCAATATGGCAGGGAGTATCACAATTCCCAACTTGAAACTATACTACAAAGCCACTGTGATAAAAACAGCATGGTACTAGAAAAAACCAAAACAGATCCAAGCATCAGTGGAACTGATTAGAAAATGCAAAAATAACTCCACACATACTCAGCTACCTCATCTTTGACAAAGAAGCCAACCATCCTCACTACAGGAAAGATAGCCTCTTTGATAAATGGTGTTGGAAAAACTAGATTTCAACCTGTCAAATATTAAAACTAGGCCCCTGTCTTTCACCATGCACTAAACTAAAATCAAAGTGGATTAAAGATCTCAATATTAAAACAGAAACATTAAACTTGCTGAAAGATAAGTTAAGTAGAACTCTCGAAGATACTGGCATAAGAAAAGACTTTATGAACAAGCATGGAAACTAGCACAAAGAACTGGGATCTCATCTTATTAAAAAGCTTCTGCAATGCAAGAGAAACCACTAACTGAGCTAAAAGACAAGCTACAATGTGGGAAAAAAATTTTACCAGCTGTTCCTCAGACAAAGGTCTACTATCTAGAATACATAAAGAACTGAAATAAGTGAAAACCATCAGCTCTACTTTCTAGGCAAGAAATCTGAGGCACTGCCAGCTTGATTAACCAGCTCAGGTTCAGACCAGCGGGACTAGGAGGCTGATATCAATGCTCCATGAGTATCAGTGACTGATGCTCCTCAATCTATGGTACTGCTTTGGACTGATCAATTAATCAATGAGTGGCCACTCATAAGCTTCAGAGCGAGTACAGGCTGACTCTGGGCATGCAATCCTAAGTGGCTGCAGACAAAGATCATTTGAAAAAGGCACACAGAAATGCCATTAAGCTCAGGGACAGCTGTGCATGGAGCTGTTTTCCAGTTGTACTCTGCCTCAAAACTATTCTTTGCCAAAAGAAGTCAAAGGGGGATCCAGAGGTCCTACAGCACAGGTCATACAGGTCACAGGCCTCACAGTACTTTAGAAGGGATGGGGATCAGAGCCTAAGAACAGAAAGCTCCCAAAATAATAAGGCACCACTGCAGCCAGAATTTTCCAGAGTGTAATGGAAGAGAGAACATCCTTAGAAGTATCTGTCCAGGTAGGTAATACAAGTATATAGTTCAGTTCCCCTTTCTCAGAGCTATTAAAAGAGTGAATACTGCGGCGGGGGATTTGGCTCAGTGGTTCCGCCGCCTGCCTCAACAAGTGTAAGGGCCTGGTACCAAAAAAAAAACAAAAGAGTGAAATACTGAGAATCCACTATATTAAATGTCCTAATCTAGGAAGTCACAGACTGCCTAGATATGAGGGCTTTTCACTTTACTCTAGAAGTAAAAAAGGAGCCAAAGAGGATGCAGAACAGGAGGATTAAAGACTGGGCCCAGCAGAGGTTTCTAACCTTAGTTTCAATGGTGAAAGCAAAGTTCCTGGTTCTTCAGTACAAAGCAGCTGGAACTTAATATTAGAACCCCCTGCTTTATTTCCTGTGGTGTCTGAGCCTGAGTGCATACAGTAAGGATGTACTAAGCCTGCGTGCATATAGTAAGGAGTCACTGAACCAGAGTGCACACAGTAGGGATGTAGCTCTTCTTGCTTAACTCTTCAGGGTAGTGTTTAAGGCCCCAAATCTGGCGATCCCTCCAGATGTCAAAATACCTGACACCTTATGAATTATATTGCAGTTGTGATTAAGGGCAATATCATCACTGTTAAATGACTAAGAATGGTAACAAAGTAATTTACTGCAAGTTACTAAATTTATTAATGATGCTGGTGAATTCTGGTCTCAGTTTTTTATTAGGACCAGTTACTTCATGTAAGTTACTAGACGTGCTGGAGATGTAGCTCAGTGGTGCTGCACCTGCCTAGCAAGCACAAGGTCCTGAGTTCAATCCCCAGTACCAGAAGCAAAAACAAAAAAAAGTTAATGGAACATGCCTACAACACTTGAATTTTTTAAAGTGGGAGCATGAGAGGGAGTGTACTGAGAGGAGCCCCTTCTCATCACACTGAAGGAAGCCAGAGCAACAGAACAGCAGGGCATACGCACAGTAGGGTTTACCCCCTGCAGCAGACCCTCAGCACCATTTCCATCAGCTTCCATTTCTCCTCTGTAAAATGAGAACATAAACTGCCCGGCACCAGGGCTGTGTGGAAGTTAGATAGAACAGTCTGCTAAGCAGCAGCCCCTGACGACCTGATCACATTTAGTATTTGTTTCATCTGTCCTGCCCTTGACAGAAGTTCTTGACAGCCTACTTGATAACACACACAGATGCAAACCAATGTTAAATAAGTTAACCTTCTCTTGCTTTGGAAAACAAGACGACCAAGAAACTGAGAACGCTAGTATCTGGCACCTGGGTAATGTTCTTGTCCATCGACAGATACACAGTAAACACCTCACTCCTGCTAGTGTCCAAAAGGCCCTGCTGGACACTGTCCTGGTACCTTCTCTCCATCATCCTCACAAATGCCTGGGCTCAGCCTCCAACTAGCCATTCTGGATGAGGTGGAGTAGGTTATTACCACTTATATCAAGCTCGGGATTGATTCTCCTGGACATTTGGTTTAGTTTAGTGCCTAAACTCCAAAGCATAAGCAGGGCACTTGTTGCCCAATCATACGCCTTCCATACCTGCTGCCTCAACCCATAGAAAATGGCTATGGGCTCCATGGCCTGGGGCATCACATCCTCCGCATACAGGTGAATGTCATCTTGGACACTTTGTGCAGGCCAGAATCCAACCACACCCCTGGCCTGCAGTTTCTTTTGACTGATTAGTAGGTTTAGCATATTCTGGGCATCATCATACACCTTTTTGGCCTCTTCACCTATTAGGAAAATAATATAAATTCACTTAAAGATGCCAATAATAAGCAGCAAAGAATGCTTCTTTCTAAAATCACAGCCCCTCCACAGTCATCTTTCCCTCACACCTCTCCATTCCCCTCAATGACTGTTGCTTTTCACTGCGGACACAGCTTAAGGTGTAACAGGCAGGGGTAGGTGGTTCTTACAAAGTGTAGTTCCCATGGTCTGCTTCCCCCAGCTCAGGCCACTTAAGTTTCCATTCAACAAAGGAAGAGAGCCAACGCTGTGGCTTCCTGCAGCACTGTGTCAGGCAGGCAGAGGGAAAGGAAAAAAGGCCAGATTTCTGGCTCAATGACACATATGACTCCAATGACTTCACGGTGACCTCTGGGGACGAGACGGAGAGGAGTGAAGCATGAACACAAAGCCTCCCAAGTGGCTTCAGTACCAGCCCTGGGCGGCCTCACCACCTGCAGCCAGACTCCAAGATGGCCTTCCCTGGTTTCCCATCTGCACCACTGAGCTGCCCTGCCCATGCTGAAAGCCCTTGATTCCTTGCCAAGGATGATGCAGGGGCAGCACAATGAGAAGTCCCTTACCCACCACCATGCTCCTGGCTACCTAACTGCTGCCAAACCTCAGAACACCTAGAAGCTCTCTGGGAAACTCAGGCCAGTCTCTCAGGCTCTTCCCAGCCCTAATTTCAGATTTCTAAGAGTCTACTTTCTGTCTCACACTGCTCTGACCATTGATTTCCTGGTCCAGTGAATGGCTCTGCATTGTGATCCCATGTCTCCAGGATGGGTTTGGGGATAAGGTTAGATGTGAGAACTGGGGGTAACAATTTATTGACTCACCTACTTCTCTAATTTTATCACCCGTCTTTCTCCCAAATGCTCTGGTACACTCCACGTAGTCGCCAAGACACAAGGGTCTGTGTCATCTCATGCTCTGGCTCCTCTGCCTGGAAGGTCTTTAACACCACCTCATGGCCCCAGTCCCTCAGTTACTACTTAAGTTTTGACACCACTTCCTCCAGGAAGCCTGCCCTGACACCCCATCTCCATCCGAGCTCTAGTCCCTCCCCTTGTGTCCACAGAAGCCTGGCATGTACCCAGTACTATGGGCTGTGCCAGCTGGCCAAGAATTAGACAACAGGAATTATAGTATCTTTAGTTTATCCCCATTGTCCAGTATGTAAGTAACGTCAATAAATATTCAGTGAAAGAATGAACAAATGAAATCCCAATTTAGTCAACATAAGAAGTGCCTACACAGCGTAAAAGCCATGTGAAGTTGAGCAGATACACGAAATTGCTATGTCCTGCACAATCCAGACAGCCTGCTCATCACTCAGTCCTGTCTTCAGTCACAGCACCACATCTAGAATATGACACAGGAAGAGGGACTTAATTGAACTAACCTACTGTTGTGTCATTGAATATCTTGGGAAAGCCTCGATTCGGGTACTTGCCCCGGAGCTGCCAAACATCAAAGAAAGGCTTCCAGTCAATGTAGTGCACCAGCTTCTGAAGGTCATAGTCTTCAAAGACCCGGGTCCCGATAAATGTGGGCTTCACTAGAGGAAAGAAGAAGAGCTATCAAAGTGGAAGCCAGCCTGGGGGTGAGTCCTTCTCATGAGGGAATGGCCTCCTTGCCAGCTCCTCACCGCTCTACTGCCTCCTGCACTCAGCCTCCCTCCTGTCACCCGTACGAGTTGTCTTACAAAGAGAGGAACCTTAAATTACTGTGGAGAAGAAGTAATTCTACACAGAATCTTAAATAAAACTACTGTTTCCATATAGCTGTCTGACTATGCCACCTTGGAAACTCTTCTCTCAACATTTCCTTCCATACCCCTGGCCAAAAGAGAAAAACTTTGGTTGACCTTCACTTAGACAAATAAAGGCAATATAAAATAAAGGGCCCTGTAGAAAGCATTCAGGGATCTTATTCTGTAAAGTTTACAGACCTGAAACCACAATCTGTGCAGCCCACTGACACATTTGTCCTAAGTTGAAGGACAGGCATGGAAACAGAGCCCCAAATTTAGCACTGTGGCTATTTCACCATGGGAGGAAGAGACACACAGGAGACTGCCATCACATGTGTACTGCTATGTGTTTTTAAAAACAGGTGGTAGGTGAATATCTTAGCCAGATATTCAGTAGGTTCTTCACACCTCATGAAGCCGAACATATAATTTAAATAATGCTGAAGACCTCACACAGACTGGTGCTGCCAGGCTTTCTGGGGTAATAACAGCAGTAACACAGCACTACGCTAACCCAAGGGATGACAGAGCAAAGTCCCAGGGGATGACCCTCTTCCTTCCCTGTGACTAGGGAATGGGGACTTCCTGCTCTATCAAATACAGGTAGCTCCGGGAGAACACAGAGCTCTGACACTTGGCCTCCTGTGACCGGCAAAGTTCAAAGGTGAGTGCATAGGAAAAGAACCACAGGAGCTGCTCCAACCTGAGGCCAGGATCTCTGCCTTCTCACACTGTTCACAAAGTCTCTTGCCCATCTGTTCCTTGTCATCTTCCCACTAAGCAGGACAGTTTCTTCTTTCTAAGAACTCTATTAAGTCAGTTTGTTTGGTAACAGAGTCTGTATAGCTTCCTCAGGAGAGAAACTGCAAACAAACTACCAATTCAGGCTCCTCAGTAAAAACATCTGAGGGAGATGGGGAGAAGGAGATGGAGGACAGAGCTATGCTTCACCCAGCTCAGCACCCAGGGTTCCTTGAGCTGCTTTGGGTTCTACCACCCAGAGCCTTAAGAGAATACCCTCCTTTCTTCTCCTGTAGCTCCCACGACTAAACTGTCCTCAAACATTTCTGTGGGCTTCCAAAAACCCCTTAGGCAGCAGCAGGTCAGAAATGTATAGTAGCTCCATGCTGGTCCTAAAATGGCTACGTGGAAAGTGTCCCCACCAGGCACTGTACACCTTTACCAGACTATTTCTAGTAATATATATGTTCTGGTTGCTCAACTTGGTCAAAAACAGATTCGGCCTAGTGCTATTAGCCCAAATGCACAATGAAAGACGAGAAGCAAGCTAGATATAGCAGAGTAAGCCGGTAACCCCAGCAACTCAGAAGGCTGAGACAGGGATCGAGTTCAAAATCAGCCTGGGCAACATGGACTGTATCACAAAGCAAAAGCAAACAAAAACAAAACAGATGAAAAGCAAGTAACCATAGCACATACTACATGGTGATGTTTCTTCAAGGATTGTCACATACTATTTATTTAACCTTTCCAACATGACCATTAAATAAGTCCCTTTTCACTCATTAGAAATTTCAATGTGTGTGTAAGATATTCCAGGTTGCCTCATGAAGCAAAGCCAGGAGTCAAGCTGGGAGGGCCTCCCTGGCTCCTCAATCTGGCACTCTTTCCACTAAGCCACGGAAAATGCAGCAGGAGCACAATTAGAACCGCGCACACCTACTATCCCAATTTAATCCTCTCAACTCTGCTGAGCCTGTGTAGAGCACAGATGTCATGAGCAGTGAAAGCAGATTTGAGACATTGCCTTGGAAATATGGATTCAATTAATATAACCTGTTCACCCGTCTCAGTTTTGCATTTCTATGTCATGCCTCTCCGAGCCTGTCAAAACATCTTACACATTTTATTCCCTCATGAGCACCTATATTAGGCAGGAAAGGCAGCTAGAGATAAAAAAGAAAAGAAACCAAAGGAGATGAAAAGTGAAGTATCCAAGGATAGATGGAATAATAAGGTGAGGAAGAAATAGGAGGTCTAGCTTTGCCGCAGTGTTTTCAATGTCAGTGAACACAAAGTGTGGGGATTTTTTAGTTTTAGTTTAGTTTTGTTTTTAGTTTTTGAGACAGGGTCTTGCTGTGTAATCCAGACTGATCTTGAACTAACTATGCAGTCCAGGCTGGTCTCAAACATGTGGCTATCCTCCTGCCTCAGCCTCCCAAATACTGGGATTACAGGTGTGCGCCATACGCCTAGCTTGCAAGGGTATTTTCTGTGGCACAGATTCCACTGAGACCTGGGACAAGCTGAAGGAGGCCCACACAAGCACAGTGCAGAAGGAGGAGCACAGGTTATAAGACAAACCCAAGGTAAAATCCCAGCAGCCTTTCAAGTTATTACCTGAGACTCAGTTTCTTTAAATTAAAATGACACTAATACCCACAGTCATTACAGAGCTGCGTGAAGGTTTCAGTGGGCTAGACAGGACCATCCCAGGACAGTCTCTGGCACAGGCTTTCCTTAAATGATTCCTAGTTACTTGCTTGTCATTTATCAGGGTCACTTATTGTACACAACTCAAAATTCCTAGCTGCCAGTATCATTCTATAGTCACAGAACTGCAAACAGCTCCTCAGCACACTGGCAGTGATCACATCTAGTCTGTTCCAGACAGGAGCCACACAGACCTGGGGGAGGTTCAGACAGCCAATCAATGTGGAAACCATTTTTTCTGGCTTGACTTAAGGGTACATATTTCCTCTCCTGTTGAAGAAAAAAAGCTATTTAGTCAGAAATTCTTAGCATTTCCACTTATACTATGAAAGCATGACCAAGAGAGCCAATATAGAATCTTTGTAAGAAAACAAATCTTTTTAATAAAAGTCCTTATCCTAAAAAAGCATTTCCTTTCCACCCCATATGCTTCCTACTGGCATCAGAACCAGAGACAGTGAAGACTGATAAGCTCCCATTAGCTACAGATGTCACTGAAAGGTCACTTCTGCAGGCCTAACAGTGAGCATGCTGGTGCTTTCAGAGCATCTGAGGTCTGGAGCTGCTGGCCTGCCACCAACCATCCCAAGGACCCAAAAGAAGAAATCAGGAACTGCCAGCTATGGGCAAACCTAAGGAACCAGAGAAAAGCCACACACAGCATCTGGGACTCTCCAGTACCTGACAAACAAATGGTGTCTTTTCTTTGTGCTGTGTTCTCTGATTTCACATCCCTAGCAGCTCTCCAGGTCCCTCTACAAGAGCCCAGGAGGCAGATAACCAGGAGGAAATATCCCCATGACTTCTACAGAACGAACACGGAGTACTGAAACCTACAGACAGGCCAGTCCACGCCTGTGGCACAGCCAGGGTTGTGTCATCCGTTTTCTTCTACTATATCCTCAAGAACAAGGATCTGTGAGCATCACCTTTGGACACTACTATTTCCCTGCTAGGTACGAGCTCATGTTTTATTTATCCTCGTAACTCTGGTATCTAGCACTTAACACCTATTGGGAACCCAGTACATATTTGGCTGAACACATAAAATTCATTTCAAGCTAGCCATAAGTTACTGAGAACTTAAAACACTGAATAAATCTAATTTGAACTAGAAAATAAGATTTCTGTGAAAGGACCTCAGGCCCTTATCCACCCACCTCAAAATGGTGAATAAAGTCACATTTAAAACTGTAGGATCACTTCGCTTCTCAAATGAGCAAAAATCTTATTTCTCTCACTTACCTTGAGAGACTCATAATGGTCCTGTCTAATATCTTCATATTCTTCCATGATTTCCTCGAAGTATTCATCCTTTAGATTTTCATCTAACAGTTGAGAACACTAAAATACAAGATAAAGTCCAATAACCACAACGGAGCAAAAGATAAAATCCATGCACTAGATTGCTCTGGCAACACCTCCCTCAGGAAGCCTTCCCTAACACTGCCTGCTCTCACTTCGCTAACTGTGCTACCTCTTGCTTAGTATACAGGACAGGGTAAACCTGGCAGCCTTGGATGTCATACTTTGCATGTGCCAAAGAAAGGCCTGGCCCAGAACTGGCTCCTAGAAGATATCACATGGTATATTCCATCTGATAAAAATCAATGTATCTCAGGGGTCTCGGGCCATGCCAGAGAGTTTACACTAACAATGTAACTTATGGTGAGGGCTTTGATTCAGGCTGTATCTGTTTGACCTTGAGAGGGTTGAAGATTGGGCAAGTAAGGCAAGACATAGGGATATTCCAGGCTTTATGACACTGACCAGCTCCTGATAAAAACCCAGACATAACCAGCTAGTCCTCAGACAAAGGACTACTATCTAGAATATATAAAGAACTCAAAACAACCAGCGCCCCCCAAATATAAGGACCCGATTCAAAAATGGGCGTCTGAAATGAACAGACATTTCTCAGACAAAGAAGTAAAAGCAGCAAGTAAATATATGAAAAAATGTTCCACATCACTGGTCATTGGAGAGATGCAGATGGAAACAACACTGAGATTCCACCTCACCCCACAAAGAATGGCTGCTATCAAGAAATCAACCCATAACAAATGTTGTTGGGGTTGTGGAGAGAAAGGAACCCTTCTCCATTGTTGATGGGAGTGCAGACTGGTGAAACCACTATGGAAATCAATATGGAGATACCTCAAAGAGCTGGGACTAGAGGTTCCATTTGACCCAGCCATCCCTCTGCTTGGTATCTTTCCAAAAGAATTAAAAGAATTATATCACAGAGATATATACACACCTATGTTTGTAGCAACACAGTTTGTAATAGCTAAAACTTGGAAACAGCCCATTTGCTCATCAGTTAGAAACTGGTTAAAGAAGATGTGGATTTTCTATAAAATGTAATACTATTCAGCCATAAAGAATGATAAATTAGATTCATTCATAGGAAAATGGATACATATTGAGAATATACTCCTAAGTGAAATAAATAAGTCACACATGTGTAAATACCGAATAGTCTCTCGGGTGTGTATAAACTATAATAGTACATAAAATTCTAATGAGATAACTGACAATGTGAAATAGGAAGAAAAGGGGCTAAAGGTGTAGGGAAAGTGGGAAGGGTAGGGGAAAGGTGATAATGGAAAGAAAAAAATAGGAGAAAATGAAAAAATGGAAATGAAGTGTTTGTAAAGGGGAAGGGGAGGAGGGGGTGAAGGGAGGGCAGGGACAAGGGGAAAAAATGAGAACCAAGACTTGTCATGTAAAGGTACAAGATCGCAATAATGAATGTAACTGTACTGTATACCTGAAATGTACCAATAAACTCAATGAGGAAAAAAAAAACCCAGACACCAAGGCTCAAGTAAGCTTCCTGGCTTGCAACACTCCTGCTTACTGACACATACCACTGTGGAAGCATTAAACACTGTTACATGACTCCACCAGGAGATGTACTAGGCACCTGTGCTTATCATTCCTGATTCCATTCTATGTGCCTATTGCCATCACTGATTTTAAGCTGCACCTTTTCATAGTTAAACTGTGATTTTAACTGTAAAAGGTTTCTGAGATCTGCAAGTCCTTCTAGTGAATCACTGCACCTGAGGGTGGTCTTGGGGAACCCAAGACACTGGATTATTGCCCTCTTCAATATTTCAAAGATACTCTGTTCACCTGTCATCACAGAGTTACTTCAGTCTTTTAGTACCTAATTACTTTAGTACCTGCCTTGTAACCATGACTACTGTCCTTACTAGAGGACAACTCCTTGAGAGCAGGGATCACACCAGCCATCTTCGTACTCTTGGTACCTTGCTCCATGTTTGGCTTGTACAAACTGTAGGCTCACTAAATGTTTAATGAAAGAATGAGGCTACTCCGCATGGTCAGCTATGAGTTTTTGTCAAATATGAAAAGATACAATCTAAGAAAATGTGAGAATAGGCATTAAATTATAAAACTAACATCAGATAATATAATTTGTGATAAGTATCTATAAAGTTATAAAGGAAGAAGAAATGGCTGCTGATGGTCCTATCAGTTCAAATGCACAGTACCGTCCCACCCCTCATTCCTTAGCAAGATTTTCTAACATACAAAAAGGCATGGAAAGGAGGGGGTGAAGGGAGGGCAGGGACAAGGGGAAAAAATGAGAACCAAGACCTGTCATGTAAAGGTACAAGATCCCAATAATGAATTTGACTGTACTGTATACCTGAAATGTACCAATAAACTAAATTATTTTTTAAAAGGCATGGAAGGTCAGTATTTTCCTCTGAAATTGAGCAAGTTAGACTGGATGATGGCTATGCCTCTTAGCTTTAAAAATCTGTGATTTTGTGTGAGTTTTCTAAGCATGCTATTATCAATCACCTAAGAGTAAGTATAGAACAAACCCTCTTACATTAAAGAATACATTTTAAAAATACAAAAAAAGAATATAAACAGAAAAGGCCACTGTGGCAGGCTTAAAACTAGGCTCCCAAATAAAGTATTCCCCCCCCTTATACTAAATTCACCTCCACAGAGACCTCCTTCAGGAACCCCAGCAGAGCTACGTGAAAACAAGAGGGAATGCAAACTCTTACATTCCTCAAGGTACATGAAATCAATATTTAAAAAGCATTACATTCTGCTAGATCATATACCCTGAGAAAGCAAAATTTGGATTTCTCAAACTTCCACAGAATTTATCAGGTCCTGGCATACAGGAACAATCAGGCAGTAAGAATATACTACAGTTGGCTGGCACCTTTCACATCCTAGGGAGATTCCTGCCCCTGGAGCTCCTTCCTGCCCAGTATTTCTTGCTTGAATTTAAACAGTTCATTATCAGGTGTGGAGGTGCACATCTTGCAACCCCAGCTACTCAGGAGGCTGATGCTGGAGGATTACAAATTCAGGGACAACAAGAACAACAAGGGCAACTTAGTGAAACTATGTCTCAGAACAATATAAAAAAAGGCTGGGATGTAGCTCAGTACTTGAGCGCCTGCCTAACAAGTCCTGCGTTCAATCCCTCAGTACAGAGGAAAGGAAGGGGGTGAGTTGGGGCCAATATATGGCTAATCTATGGAATCTTTTTACCAAAATATCAGGTGTTTTTACGCCAACCGCCCAGACTGTTACAGTTTTTATATTCCTTCCTTTATAATTTTCATGACAATAACTACACAATGAGAGGGAAAAAGTTGAAATTTTTTTATAATTTAAAAAGAACTAACTATTGACACCTTGTATGATTTAAAAAGCAAGCAAGCAAGGGGAATCCTCACACCCACTCTCCAGCCATTAAGTATTTGCCGCACCTGTGTAGACTTTCAATCAAATACACGAGCCAGGTGCTAATGCATGGTCCTACCCCATGTTCATTACAGTTAGAGAGTTAGAGCAAAAGACCCAGAGACAATGATCAACCCCAACAAATCATACCAGTGGCTCCTGGGAAGTGCCACTAGCAGGTACCCAGATTATTTACCACTGGACTATATGTCTGAGTCACTTCAAAAAGTGGCCAGTTCTTTGTATATAAGACAAGCTAAGCACAGCACTACCCAGCAGGGCCAAACTGTGACAGCAGCGAAGCCCATTCCTTGTCCTCAGCCTTGGTCCCAGCAAAGCCTGGCTGCTGAGCTCTTCAGGACAGGGAAGGAGCATCTCTTCCAAAAGTGGAATTGAGGGTGGACCTCCTCTTCTACCTGTTTAGGGAATAATACACTGGGCAATGCCCAACAGCCATGGCTCCAATGGAAAATGTTCAGGGCCATTCATACCATGTGAAAACAGCAACAAGCCTTAAAAAGGTGTCCACTGGTCTCTAAACCATGGACCTGATATAAGCGCCTATGAAAAATAATCCAAAAACAAGATATAAACATTATTTTAGAATTGTAGAAATGTAACTTATTTGTACATTAATCTGTGTCAACTGAAAAATTTTAATAGCATCTTTAAATTCAACCTGACATAATTTTATCCTTTAAAAACTTGTTAAATGTTAACAGAAACAAGTTTAATTTAGCATAGAGTAAGCATCCCTGTGTTCCAATCTCAAACCTGTCACTTGATGGATATGTAGCCTCAGGAGTTAGTTGCCTCTTTGTTCCTCTTATGTCCTTATCTCTAAAATTAGGATAATAAAAGCATCTTCCTGAGCTTGGATGTAGCTTAGTGGCTCAGCACCTGCCTGTAAGTGTGATGCCCTGAGTTTGATTCCCGGTACCAAAAAAGAAAAAAAAAAAAAAAAAAAATT